ATTCATTTAACCTGAATTACAACTACAGGTTGTACCTCTCTAGTCCAGCAACCTCGGGACCTGACCGGTGTCGCACCATGGAAATTCACCCTTTTCCTGGATAGATAGTGACTTGTGCATACACTTGGAAGCACTAGCACCACTTTCACTGCTTCGTGGTCTCTTTGAAGACATATTGAAGGGTTAAATGTTATACAGTAGGTTCTCAAATTTCGCGAGTTTTTAATTCAACGTTTTTTATTTGGACACAAAAAAAAACAGCACAATTTAAAATTTTGACGCCGGAAACTCAAATTTTGACAGGTTTCAGCGGCTCGCCAACATTCAGACGTGCACAATTGTGTAAACAGCGTCATTTCTCTATATACAAAACATTCATTATTGTTTATTACTGAATGTCTTTTTGATTGAATTAATGTTTATGTGTGCAAAATGAACAATACAATTCATTAATAATACGTAGAATATTAAAACACACGAGGAGACGAGACAGAGTTGTTTTCGTTGTTTACAAAACCAGTGACTGATTGGTTCTACATATAAAACTGAAGAATATAAAACCCTGGTTGTAGCTGTAGTAAAATTAATATGGTTGTTTTAAGTAATGTTATTTAATGGAACAATGGAAGTAGCTAACCATTAATGGTAAAAAAAAAAGTGAGATCACGTATGTAAGTGCGCACATGTGAAAACATATCATCATTACTCTACATAAGAATATGAAAGCAACACTTATTTACTGTCCATATATATTTTAATTAATGTTTCTGAATTTAAAACAAAAATTCTACCCACCAGTGGTGGTAAAGTTGAAAATATAAAGACAGCCAATGTTGTTGTGTGTGTTTTTACTCGGATGACAAAGTTGCCAAACAATCAGGTTCAACTCTAGCTAAAGCTGAAGAACACAAGAACTTTTCTGTGTTGTTTTTAGTTTTTATTTAACTTTATCTGTGTTATTTTTGTTGGTTTATTAGGATGTTGCTTTATTACAGGTAGTAATTCGCCAAAAAAGTAGGATAAATAAGGCCAAATTTAGCCAAACATCAAAAGTACCAGACTCAAATTAATTTCCTCCATGGGCAAACTAAAATCGTTCCGGACCACGGGAGTTTCGAGACCACAGAATGCCGGACTAGAGGTGTTCAACCTCTGAATCTTACAGGTATCCCAACTTTTTCCCCTTTGGTAAAAAATTCAAATTTAGTCCAACAATCCGAAAGCAACTGAAGTCATTTATTCGAGTGTCTGACACCTGTTGCGGTTGCTTTTTATACAATATTTCCTGTGATAAACAGCATATCATAAACTACAACGGCACATATTTTATGTACAAAAAATAGCTCCTTCCACACTCAAATCATCATCTAAGTGATGTCACAGTTCAGCCAGGCAGTCAAGTGACCGTGGAGTCATCCAGCTGACTGAGACGTAAGTGTGCATGCCGTTATGTCACATGGGAGGGAGGGAGGTGGGTGAGTCAGCCACGCAGTAAAGCTCACCGAGTGGCCTTCACATACGTTCAGCTCCCCACCCCAACACACACCTATGCTCTTCATTTTTCTTTTTCTATAGTTTTATATTATATTTTCTTTATTTTTAAGCCACAGAGTATTTTAGTATTTACTCAGACTTGAATTATACGTAATTTTTTTTTTTTACATTTATTCTTTATTTTGTAAAAGTGACTAAATTACAGTAGTATACATAAGTGCTGTACTGTTTATGTGGCATTTCCCCTCCATCACCTACCACTCCCCTGCATCGTTTACCATTACCGTGTCACATACCAAGCCTCTCTCTCACCTCCCAAGCCTCTGTGTCACCTATCAAGCCTGTGTCACCTACCATGCCTCTTGCCGACTATAATGCTTCATTCTTCACCTGCAGTACAGGTAAGTGCTACTTTTTAATATTTAGTAATTACTTGTACACATATATGGGTTATTAATTTTTTAGTGTTGTAACTTTATAAAGGGGGGGGGGTTGCCTAAATAAGTCGGAATTTTGGATAACTCAGCTGAGCCAGAGCCCCATATGTGCCGAGTTATCAAGGGTTTATGGTATATTATGACCACCCCCCTATTTGCGATGTAAACAAACTCACATTATTGATATTCGTCATCCCGCCAACTCACCAAGTCAGACCAAGTTGGCATATGGAACGCATCACTTATTTCATTTATCAGCTGAGGTATCATCTACCCGAACGCCACCTTGTGACCATCTGGTGAACTACAGTCCAGCCATTGTTTCTTTTTGGTTACATGTGTGTAAGAAATGGAGCTAAAGGTTAATCAGTCACTATCAGTGTTGTTTTTTTACCTTACAGTGAGAGGACATCACTTAAGTTCACACTGTACTCTGTTTTAGTGACTGTGAAGTGCTTTCGCTCTGACCCCCCATCACGGCAATGGGTGATCTGACAATGCATTAGGTCAGGCCAGTAATATGAAACCCACTAATCCCCTACCACATCTCCTCACAAACATTGAAAGGCATAAAAATTTATTACAGTTATGCATTACATTCAGGAGATTGGGCAGTATACTCCTACTGTAGGCTCATGATGACTGTAGTAATATACATTATTTTGTTTATTTATAATATACGTATTGTACGTGTACAGTGGTGTTTGCATAAACAAAAACAGCTCTTGTGTCAGTCCATGTGAGATGGTTGCTTAGACTTGAGAAAATAGTGAAGAATTCCTGTGACAATCAAGAGGTGCCTCGCACGCCCGTATCATAAACATTTCTTTTTTTTAATACTGTATATTTAATATTTTTTAACCAAACTTTTAGATAAATTATCCAGGATTATAATAGTGAAAAAATGGTGTTTCTAACATAATTAGAACTGATTTTAAAGACTGATATCAACATTTCTTAAATTTTGTTCATAAAACAATTGAGTTATTATATCCTGTCAAAATTTTGTTTAGGGATCTTTTATTGGAAAAGCCTGGTAGAGAACTTATTCAGGATTATTATATCAAATACATCTCTCTATCACAATTAGAAGATGATAGAGTATAGGAGGTAGTGGAAGGAGGTAGGAAGGGAAGCGACCCAGTAGAAAGTGGCCACACGGACCCCCCATTTCAGACCCCTAACTCTTTTATAGTATTGTAGCCAATAAATCAACTTTTGAAGCTCTATTTTCTTTGTTCAAAACTAGGGGTCGTCTTACACAACAGGTACATAATGTCAACCTCTAAGTATGCTGCACCACTAGTATCAGATTTTCACTTGTCCTTACTGGTAAGTCTCAGTCACTTAATTTCCAGCCCTCAAAAACAAGTTTTACCCAACTGTAGCATTTTTTCTAGAAGAGTAACTGTGTCATACCAATGCTTTTCAAAACAAAATATCTGTCGGTGTTAACTACAGTGATCCCTCGGTTAACGAGCACCTCGGTTAACGAGATTTCGGATAACGATTTACCTTCCATAAGATTCTTAACTTCGGATAACGAGCAATCCCTCGATTAACGAGTTTCTTACAAGCCGACCTCAACATGTTTTCACTTGCATTTGGCGGTCCACCAGCTGTAGTATTAGTCTGCCAATACAGTAATCGGTTTTAGGCCTTAAATTCCTAACTATTTTAGTAAATATCAAGAAGTTTATTCTATTCAATAATTTTAAAAGTTTAATATTAATTTTTTTTGTCATTTTAAAAATTATTGAACATAATTGAAGGTAAAGAAACTAGTTTCTGGCGCGCCATCCAGCCTGTTAACACACAAACAGGCGTTAGTCTCTCTCTCTCTCTCTTTTCAGTGGAGGTAACATATTGCTTGAGACTCTCTTCAACTAAATGCTCTTTTTCTGTGCTTCCAAGCAAATTATTGGTCATTTTGAAATTTATTTTACATATTGACAATATATAATGCAGTGGTGTTGATTTAAAAAAAATAATCTTGAACTACACCAAGAGAACTAAAATCATCATCATCCAGGAGCCTTCTACATACACACCTCAAAGTAAGTGTACTTTTCTACCTTTTTTGTTGAATTTAAGCAATTTTCGGTGAGCTGGAACCAATTACCCATTGAAACAATGGTTGCGGTTAACGAGCAACCTGCTGGAACGGATTGTGCTCGTTAACCGAGGGACCACTGTATGGTTTCTTACAAACAAACATTACAAGGGCAGTTTCTTGTAATATTTCTTGTCAAATTGTTTAAAAATGCAGTTTACACAAATTAATGAGGGTAGTGTATATCAATATACAGGGCCCCCCCAAATTCACGGGGGTTAGGTTATCAAAATGACCGCGAATCGCCAAATCCGTGAAAAACATTTGCGGACGGGTGGGGGGGGTCATTTTAGTTGTGTACAAAGAAATGTATACAGTACAGTATTCCCTTTATGTGTTTGCCCTTAGGACAATTATTTTTTTTACCTGTAGTATTGTATACTGTATATGTGTGTTTGTATAGACTCACACATACACACAAAACACATACAAATAAATAATAATGGGAAAATACTCACAAATAATCAGAAACAAATTTATTAAAAATCTAACAGTCTACCCCCAAGTCCATGCTCTATTGCTGTACTTTATTAATAGAGCACGGACATGTGGGTAGACTCACATTTTTAATCAAATTTTTTCTGATTATTTGTGAGAGGATTTTCCCATTATCATTTATTTGTATGTGTTTTCTGTGTGTGTGTGTGTGTCTATATACACACACACACACACACATACAGTATACAATACTACAGGCAAAAGAAATAAATATCCTAGAACAAATGGCTCCCTGTCCCAGCCACGAAAATACCAGCAACTTTAAAACTACCCAGAGACATTCTTGGGTACATCCAGGGTGTCATCCGCGAATAACCAAGAACTGCGAAGTAAAAATCTGCGAACTTGGAGGGGCCACCTGTACATGCATCAGCATGTTCTTACTAAAAAAATAAAAATAAAATGGTTAATGAAGCAACTTTAAAATTTCTACTAATTCATAAATATGGACAACTTACCAAGTAAATTTTGCAATTCATCACCATCTAATGACACATTTCCAGTTTCATTGTTCACTATAATAATCACCGTTTTACCAGATGTGTTTCCAGGGGCCGATACATCAGAACAGTCCTTCACAAATGAACTTGACATCTGCAAATATACAATAATTAAATTTACAATAAGTTCATGTGTGTAATAGGTCAACAAAATATTTGTAAGTTTACTCAAAATGTGTTTCTACAGGTACACACCCTCAAATTTCAGACCAAGACTGTACCAGTTTTAAAAAAATTCTGGTTTGTTTGGTCCTAGGTCAGCAGCCTGTTTTGTGTAGTAGACAGAAAACAGCACAGGTACAGGTACATTATTATTTATTGTCTATAAGCCTTTACACTTTGTTTTGCTATAAACTTCACAAAACATTGTCTATCACATTTTCAAGATGGCAGTAGAGAAGGGTATAGTACTGTACTGTATTAACTTTTCTAACAAGGAACTATCGAGCCTTAAAAATCCTGTGTCAACACCATCACCAGCACTGAGCCATTAGGTACAGCAGTGTAGGATCCTTTAACAACAAGCAGCATCTGGCATAAGTTACCTTAAATCTTTGACTTAATTTAAACAATATTAATTTCAAGAGCTATGTGGATACAATATTAGTAAGTACCTGTAATATCTTCATTAGCTGGAATTCCTCAAACCCGGAATTGAAATTTTCTCAAATTTTTTTCCCAAAAACGGAATTCCAGAAAATTCCGAGAAAGTTTTTCCGACACCCAGAAAATTCCGTGAATGGGGAGTTTTTTTCCGGGTTTGAGAGATGAAAATCAGCACAATTTCCGGAAATTCAGAGAAAAATTTTCCGGTACAGGAAAGCCTCCAATAATGACTGTTCTACTGTACTAACGATGATTCATATTTAAGACCCTGGTTAATTAAGGACCCAATTCAATTTACATCATTATTTTCTTCATATTTATGACAAAAATAGAATAAAAAATAATATTAAATTACATTTTCATGTAAATAATAACTAAATCCTGATAGGTATTACAGTACAGTATATATAAAAAAAAATAATAAAAAAAATATGCCTTGCGCACGAAGGCTGCCGGACTTGTTAGTGGTGACGCCAGCGTCACTATTATAAACAATCGCAGCTGGCGGGCCCTTTTGCTTTCATACATCTGAAGAGGAAAAGTAGAAAAACTTTCTCAGGTTTCTGGAGCATTTTGCATCCCGATTCAACATGAGCAAGAGAGCAAGTGATGGTAGTGCTGGTTCAAAAGCTAAAAGAAAGTGTATAAGCTTAGCCGAGAAACTAAATGTATTTTTTATTATAAATTTTATTTACTATGAAATATTATTATTACTATTACATTTTCGCCCCCCAGGCCCCGATGTGGGTCAGTGACCTGTGCCCGGGTGGGCTAATCCCCTTAAAAAAAATATACTGCATATATAAAATACGGAGCAACCAATGAACATATTTTCTGAAGTGAATCCATTAACAGAAAGAAGCATTTAAATTAACAGGGACATGAAAAATGCATATAACCCCTACATTAAGACGTATAATGAGAAAATGAAAGCGGCTGTGAAAGGTTCTTTCAACAGCTTTATGATTCAAAGGCCTAAACCATCAACTTCAGCTACACCATCAAATTCAGCAACAACTACAGTTTCAGTAACAGTTTCAGCAACAATTATGACATCTTTATGGAAAGCTACAGCTTCAGCCAGAGTTGAACCTACAGCTTCACCAGCGTTGAACCAGTCATCATCTGAGTAAAAACTTACACAACATTCATTAGCTGTCCTTATGTTTTAGACTTTACCACCATTTGTCAGTAGAATTTTTGTTTTACATGAGTAAGTATTATTTAAAACATATACTGAATGTTGCTTTAATATTCTTATGTAGAGAAATTACGTTATGTTTTCACATGTATGCACTTACATACGTTGACGTTCCCAATCCGTCTCACTTTTTCTTTACCAGTAGTGGTTAGCTACTTTCATTGTTCCATCTACTTACATTAGATGACACTTAAAGCATACATATTCACTTTTTTACACTAATTTTACTATAGCTACAACCAAGGTCTTATTTTCTTCAGTCTCTTATGTAGCACCATCGTCATAGGTGTAAACACAAACGAAAACAATGCCGTCTTGTCTCCTCTTGCGTGTTTTAATACTCTACGTATTATTAATGAATTGTATGATCATTTCGCATTTACTGTATAAACATTAATTCAATCAAATAAATATTCAGTAATAAACAATAATGAAGCGTTTGTACATATTCTTAATAAGATAAATGACACTTTCCTTGAGTGCGCACATATACGTTGGTGTCCCTCTATCAGTGGTTACTTCTACTGTACATTAAATAACATTAATAAAAACATACATATTTTTTTTTTACATTAATTTAAATACAGAAACAACCATGGTCTTATTTTCTTCAGTTTCAAATGGATAACTGACTTTATGGGTGTAAACACTGACAGCAACAATGGCATCCCATCTCCTCTTGTGTGACCATATTAAAGTAGGCTCTCACCAATAAAGACTTCCACAATAAAGTTTTCGACAATAACGGTAAGTTACAATAGATACCCATTTTCAATAATAACGTCTGGATTCTCTTGAATAACGGAGATTTTGCAGGAAGCGTCCGAGCGCATCAATGATAGTGTTTGTTTGCCGCCATGTTGTCCGCTCCACCTCACTCTCACATGCGCTGCGCCCATGTGTGAGATTTTCGCCTCTATAACCAGTGGGGACTAGGGGAGGTGGTGGAGGGAGTGATTTGCCGCCTGAATGCCAGGGAACTCTTCAAGCAAATGAGAAAAAAGACCCCAAAGCTAAGAGACAAAGCCACAAGAAGCGTGCCTACTCAGTCAAGGATAAAGAACAGTTTGTTGAGCTCAATGAAAATGGTGCACGGAACATTGATATTGTGAGGAAATTTAACTGTCCTGAGTCTACAGTGCGAAATATTAAGAGGAACTTAGGGGAGACCAAGAAGAGTATTGCGCTGGCTAAAAATATTTCGGTAGTGATGGAAATACAAGGCGAGCTAAAAATGATAAAGGCGATAGAAACAGGTTGTTAGTGATAACAGAGCATTTTCTTGTGAAATGGTTAGCTTGTAGAATGAAAGACAGTGCAAGTGTTAGCGGCCCTCAGATACGGAACAATCATCACACCAAGCACCTCAAAAACTTCCCCAAGCTAAGTGCTATATTACTCAAATTCTTTATTTTGATGATTGAATAACAATTATTTTTATTTCAGCTAACAAAAAGTGTTAGGAGGGCTTCAAAGGGGAAAAAATGGGTGAAATTCTTGGGGCGGCAGCACCAATAAACCCTTTTTACATGTATTTTAATGTCACACAAATAACGTTTTCTCTAATAACAGTGTTTTTCAGGCACCTATTAGACGTTATTGGTGAGAGCCTACTGTATTATTATTGATTTATATTGTATAAGGTGCATTCGTAAACATTACTTAAAGAATATACAGTAGTTTGCATTTTTCATTAATTTTATTGTTTGGGGGGAAAAGCGAGTATAAAAGCCACAAACAAAGATATGAAAAGGTCAGAATTTGGAACACATTTCATTATTACTGCTTTACCTTACACTGCAATAGTGGAGGACATATTACCATCATTATTTGAGGATTTACTGTACCCGAACAATTCTTGGGGATGGGAAGTATTTTTCCAGGTTTGAGAGATGATGTAATGAGCAATTTCTGGAACTTCCAAGAACATTTTCCTGTTACCCAGAAAATTCTGGGGATGAGGGATTTTTTCCGGCTTTGAGAGTCATCTCGTTAACCGGATATCTCTCATTCCCGGAAGTGATCTGAACCAATTGTTCCAGCTAACGGAGACATCACTTTCATTAATAAAGTACAAATAAATATAAATCAATATAAGTAAGGTACAGTTCAGTACAGTCATTCCTTAGTTATAGCGCACTTGGTTATCACGCCTCCATCAAAATCTGCACACCTGCTGTTATAGCGCATTTTTCAAGCCGAGAATTTCGTTATCATGCAGTTGCCTCCAGGTGCTTTTACCCATTTGCTTCACCTACATCTATTGAGGATAAAATCTTTCACCTACAAATTGACAATACCCTTGTAACACATTTGCTGTAATCAGACATATCTAACTTGTCTCAACAATTGCAACCCCAGTTGCAATTTCCAATTCTGTGTCATTACTAAGGAATAACGAAGTCTCGGGTGCACTCTAAGATTGAGAGAAAACGGAGGACTCAGGCGTCCTGAAGCGATGAGAAAACGGAGGACTCAAATAAAGAAAGCATAGCAACATGTTTTGTGGACTACAGTATTAAGGGTACCCTTTTCATCACTTTGTAATAAACCTAGCCATGCCTACGTGTGTTTCTGATACTTATCATAACATTATCTATATCTTTAGTGGGTCTAAATGGTCGTAAAATGGGAAAATTGGGGTTGGGTCTTGGGTGCCTGGAACCAATTAGAATAAATCCCATAGGTTCTGTACTTTCGTTATCGCGTTTTTCGTTATCACGCACTTCAATACAGTGGTCCCTCGGTTAACAAATTACCTTCCATAAGAATCTTCACTTTGGTTAACGAAAAAATTTCGGTTAACGAATTCCTTACGAATTTTTCCCAACATGTTTTCGCCTGCTTTCGGCTGCTCACCAGCTGTAGTATTAGTCCGCCAATACAGTAATCGGTTCTAGGGCTTAAATTTGTTACCATTTGAGTAAATATCAAGAAGGTTGTACTATTCAATAATATTCCAAGTCTTATATTAAAATTTTTTAGTCACTTCGACAATTATTTAACATAATTGAAGCACAGGGAACTAGTTTTTAGTGCGCCAAACAGCCACTTGACTCACCCAAAATGGCGTCAGTGTGTGTCCCTGCTCAGTGGAGGAAGCATCTTGCTTGAGACTCTCGTGAACATAAACTATTTTTACAGTACAATTATTGGTCATTCTGAAGTTTATTTTAGAAATTGACAATATATAGTGCAGTGTTGATTTGAAGAAAATAATCTTGAATTACACCAAGTGAACTAAAATTTTATGGGTGAAATGGCAACATGTAGCATGGGGTGTCTTCTCTTCCACCCCAATGCCTTCTCCTCCACCCCCACTTCTAATTCCCATCATCATCAACCAGGAGCCTTCTACATGCACACCTCAAAGTAAGTGTAGTTTACTGCATTTATTTTTAGTTTATGTAATTTTTGGTGAGCTGAAACCAATTACCCAAAATCCCATTGAAACAATGGTTTCGGTTAACGAACGACCTTCTGGAACGAATTGTGTTCGTTAACCGAGGGACCACTGTACTTCAACACCGCCACCACTTCAGTGCAAGCTCCAGCAGTTACAGTGGGTGCCCATCCTCTCCAGTTAGTGCAGTCTGCAAACTCCAGGGGGTAACTATAGACCATAAACTGGACTGGAAGGCCAGTGTAAACAACACAATCAAGGCAGCCTCGTATCGACTCTACATGCTACGATGGCTCAGGTCAGTTGAGGCACCCATGCCAGAGCTGAGGACTATCTACAACGCATTTAGTCTCCCCAAATTAACGTATGCGTCACCAGCCTGGTCGTCTTCTCTCAACTCAACCCAACAACGTCAGCTAGAGAAGGTGGCTTGCACTAGCAGAATCATGCTCGGCGCAGATTGCTAGGGCTACAACAACGCTCTCTCCACCCTGGAAATGCCATCCCTCAGTGACCTCCACCACCACGCACTAGCAGGATTTGGCAGTGGACTACTGCACCATCCTTGTCATCGCCACCTACTGCCGCCAGCAGTACACGGCCCACCTTGTGCAGTCTGCCACTACAACAAAATTCAGCCCATACGAGCCCGCACTGATAGATATAAGAACAGCACCATCCCATCTATTGTTAAAATAATAAACAGCTCCTGATTTATGTACTGTACAGCCCAGTAAATGTATTGAATGTCTAAATCACATGTAAGTTTGTATATTTTCAGCCACCAGCTGCAACTCTATTAATAAACCGTTTATTATTATTATGATTATTTAGAACAAGCTGCCCCCTTGTCTCCCTCGCTCTGCGTTGCCTCTGCGGCCCCAGGGAATTTTCTAGAGGGTAAATATTTTATTTTTCTTTACTTCTTCTTGATTGTTTTTTATCATTTAAAAGGGTAAAAATTATTTTAGGAAAAGTTGATTTTTCTCAATTTACCCCGCGTGGTGGGTATGACCGGCGGCACCCTAGCCCGGGGCGTAGGGGTTAAATACTGGTACAGTGAGTTCTGCTATAACGCGTGTTTTGACAACGCGAATTTGATCGAACGCGATTTATGAATTCGGAACAATATTTGTATAACGCGAACTCGTTTGCTCTAACGCGATTCCACTCGAACGGTTGTTGTGACTTCAGTTCACGTTCGACATCACATGTTCAATTGAGTTATGTGTTTTGTTTGTGAACAATTGCAGAAATAATGTATGTAATATTTATGTATACAGTATACCTATATATTATAAGTAAATTGTAAAATTTTACATAAAAGAGAAAATCAAATTACATAGCGTTTTACACCCGCGCTCTCTTTACATCATACACAGTGTTTACAGTTTATGTTCGACATCACATATTCAATTGATTTATGTGTTTTGTTTGTGAAGAATTGCAGAAATAATTTATGTAATATTTATGTATACAGTAAACCACTCACAAGGTCCTACAGTACCACTAATTATTTTATACTGAAACTTACGTTTGGGAAGCTGGATTAAAATGAAGATTACCGGGATATTAAAATAATAAAAATGTATTATAAACCAGTCTAACATACCGTAATAAACACAGCTGCTTTTATCATCCACCCCCCCACCCCCATTTGCCAGTGACAAGAAAGGGAAAGTGACCTTGACTGTGACCGCCTGTGGCTATTTTTAGCCGTCCTTGTGTTCGGAGGTGGTCAGTAATGCATATCTGTATATTTACTGATCAATATATTTATCTCCTATAAATAATTCATTTAAAATTTATTTTTTTGCAAAGAATATTCAGTAAATGACTGCATTAATTCTTGAAACTACCTACAGTGGTAAATTTAGGATATAAATAATGAACAGAAGTCACGTCATGGATTCGGAGTTTGGTCCTTAACGATCACCATAAATGTAGCCTCCCTTTGTCGCGAAACACGTATATAAATTAAAGAAAATACTTGCAGTATATTTAATATATTACAGTATATTATATATATAAATAAATAAACAAATAAATTCAAATTCCCTTATCATCCTGTGTCATATACAGAAATACTTGAGTCCCTGAGCGAGTACACAAAAAGAAAACGGACATCCTGGAGTGGATAGAGAACGGACATCTCTACTGGGGGACTCAAACGTTTCTCATGTTTTGTGGGCACTCTAGCATAATATGAATAATATGTAAATTACAATTTACTTATACAGGTATATATATATATATGTAAATTTTAAAAATTTAAATAAAAGAAAAACTAAATACGTAGCGTTTAAAGTGTACTGTACAGTATGTACAGTGCTGTGGCTTGGCGCGGGGTTATGCAGTGTTTACAGTTCACGTTTGACATCACATGTTCAATTGATTTACTGTATGTGTTTTGTTTGTGAACAATTGCAGAAATAATTTATGTAATATTTATGTATACAGTATACCTGTACAGTATATGTAAAATTTAAAATTTTAACTAAGAGAGAAAAACAAAATACGTAGCGTTTTAGACCTGCGCTCTCTTTACTCCACACGTTCACTTTGGAAGACGTGAGAAATTTTTAAGCGTCCTCAGTGCTTTCTGATTTACTGTTTCTCCAATTTTGTGACTATGGAAAAGAAGAATATCTCCGGGAAGCATTCTGGTGATCGCATTTCTGGTGGTGATCGTAAAAGAAAGGCTCTAACACTTGAAGGCAAGCTTGATGTTGTCAAGCGTTTTGAAAATAAGGAAAGAACATGTGATATTGTGCGTGCAACGGGAATAAAGGAGTCTACTTTGCGCACCATTAGAGCCAATGCAGCAAAGATTAAAGCAAGCTGTGTTGCTGGAAAAACCAAGAGAGCTAGCAAAAGTGTAAGATCACGGCCAAAGGAACTTGAGGAGATGGAATGGCTTCTAAGTGTTTGGATAGAAGATCAAACGAAAAAGCGATCTGGGACCAGCTTCCTCACCATTAAAGAGAAAGCCTTGTCAATATATGAGGACCTAAAGAAAAAAGCTGAAAATCCTGATGATGTGGTTGCCTTTAGTGCTAGTAGTGGATGGTTTTCTGGTTTTAAGAACCGCTATGCTTTTCATAATGTAAAGTTATGTGGTGAAGCCGCAAGTGCCCGGGCATTTCCTCCCACTGTAAAGAAATTGATTCAGGAAGAAGGCTACACCTTAGACCAAATTTTTAATTTGGATGAAACAGGTTTATACTGGAAGCGCATGCCAACAAGAACTTACATTTCCAAGAATGAAGCACATGCTCCAGGCTTTAAGGCTGCGAAGGACCGTGTGACAGTGTTGTTGGGTGCAAATGCTAGTGGAGACTTAAAGCTTAAGCCTGTGTTGGTGTATCACTCTGTCAACCCGCGAGCTTTAAAGGGTTACATAAAGTCTACTCTAGGTATTCACTTTAGGTCAAGCAAAAAAGGTTGGATGACAGGACAAATTTTTTCTGACCTTCTTGTGGATGTTTTTGAAAATGTGTTTAAAAAATATTGCAAGAAGAAGAATATAGATTTTAAGATTCTCCTCATTTTAGATAATGCACCAAGCCACCCTCCCACTGTTGCTGAGCTTTCTGACAATATCAAAGTGCTCTTTCTACCTCCAAATACAACATCTCTCCTTCAACCAATGGACCAAGGAGTAATAGCAGCCTTCAAAGCCTATTATTTGAGGAGTACATTTAAGAAACTTATTGAAGCTACTGAGGAAGGAAATGATAAGGCCAGTGTTCTTCAGTTTTGGAAAAAATTCAACATCAAGCATGCAATTGACATCATTGTGGAGGCCTGGGGTGAAGTAAGTCAGGACTGCTTGAGTGGAGTTTGGCGGAAGCTTCTCCCAGATTTAATTCATGATTTTACAGGCTTTGATGCATCAGAGGAGCTCCCAAAAATTAAAGAAAATTGTGTTTCTCTTGCAAAGCAAGTTGGCTTTGCTGAAGTGGAAAGCGCTGATGTTGAAGAACTGCTCGAGTCCCACTGTGAAGACCTCTCTACAGAAGATCTACAACAACTTGTTGATTCTGGGAAAATAGAAGATGCCGAAGATGAAGAAGTCCAGGATGCAAAACCACGAGCTTCCCACTTCTGTTTTGTCTTCTATCCTGAGGGAAGTTGATACGCAGTTGCAGCGCTTGGAAGACAATGACTACAATGCAGAAAGGAGCAGGATTGCAGTTCGTGGTGTTAAATCTTTTTTGGCACCTTATGAACAGCTTCTTTGTGAAAGAAGAAAGACGGCAAAACAGCAAACATTAGACGTCTTTTTTAAGTCAACCCCCAAGAAGCAGACTGAAGACACTGAACCACAGCCATCCACTTCTGGAATTAGACGTTTTTTTCTTCCCTCCCATGCAACCAAAACTGCACCTGATGATGATGATACTGATGATGATACTGATGATGATGATGACGATGACAATTGTCAAATCCTGTCTGCATGACTCCTCAACCTCAACATTAACCTTCTCCCCCATCAAGTTAAATTCATATTTTTTCAAGGTAAAGTGTAACATTTACTATATGATTTCATTATTAGATATGAATGTAACATTTATTTAGACTGTGCTATCCTTTGTGTTAGGCTAACTACGAATTTTTTTTTCGATTTGGAGTAATCTGCACCTAACCCTATTTTCTCCATAAGCCCTGTTATTTCTATTACGCGATTTTCTATAACACGATATTTTACAAGAACAAAATTATCGCGTTATAGCAGAACTACCTGTACTGTAAATTTAAAGTTTTACAGTACGTCTATAACATGGGGACTGCCAGTGTAAGGGTATTCATTCAATCAGATAATTATCTTTTATGAACTCTCTCCCTTCTTGCAAATAGTCTGGGATATGTGCAAAAAAAAAAAAAGATTGAAATGACACCAAAAATTTTTTAAATTGGGTTTTTTGAAAAATTTCCCTCTCTAGAAACCTTTAGCTACATTACTGCCAAGTACGAACATAGTTGGTTTTGGGTAACCCGTTTTCTGTTGCCATCATAATAGTATGATGAGCAAATAACACTAAGAAAGGACTCATTTGGCAACAATTAACAGCTAGTTTGAAGAGCTTGCAAGTGAATTCAAGTTTCAGTGCTCAACTAGCCTGTATGGAAAGCAGACCTATACAGGAACAGGTATTGTGTGTCTAATGAACCCCCACTTCCTTTTAACAGTTATATATATACCTTAGAAACATTTGTTAAACATTTGATTGCACATATTTTTATGAAATTATTTAACTTTACAACTTATTTAAGGTACTGTACTTTAAGTCGTAAGGGGTCAGTGCATTGATGCGGCGTAATTTACCTAACCACACTCATTTCAGTGAAAGTGGTTCATTGAGACATGCTCACCACTTTTCTTATGACATGTAACTTCTAATTTCACATCCAACCCCTAGCTACTACACTTCCTTTTAGCCACTACACCACCTTGCTTTGGTTTGGAACACTTCAAACAATGCCTGTGGACACAGGCGAAAGGTACTGAGCATGCATACCGCAGATGAGAAAGATGACCTTAAGAGAATGAGAGGTGGTGGGAATTTCAATTGCTCAAACATTTGTGCTCCCAAAAATTGACAAATTTCAGCCTTAAAATCCTCTTAACTGTGGGAACTTTTTACGTAGAGGTCCACAATTATTTGACCACTTAGTGCAAAACCATTTAAAATGGAGAGACTTATAACAAAGACCCCCTGTATATACTATTTTATATTTTGTTCTATTTAATACTGTATGTTATATTATTTGATGAAACATATCATAATAGGCTGATCACATGAGAATACTGTATAATAATTAAAATAAAAACAAACTTTTGACTTTAGCAACAGCCAGTCGCACACATCGTATCATCTCGTAACTACAGGTACAGTGATCCCTCGGTTAACGAACGCCTCGGTTAACAAAATTTCGGTCAACGAATTACCTTCCATAAGAATATTCAATTCGATTAACGAATTCCTTACGAATTTTTCCCAAAATGTTTTCGCCTCCTTACCAGCTGTAGTATTAGTCCGCCAATACAGTAATCGGTTCTAAGGCTTAAATTCGTTACCATTTGAGTAAATATCAAGAAGGTTGTACTATTCAATAATTTTCCAAGTCTTATATTAAATTTTTTAATCATTTTAACAATTATTTAACATAATTGAAGTACAGGGAACTAGTTTTTAGCGTGCCAAACAGCCACTTGACTCACCCAGAATGGCGTCAGTTTGTCTCTGCTCAGTGGAGGTAGCATCTTGCTTAAGACACTCTTGAACATAAACTATTTTTATGTTTTTACAGTACAATTATTGGTCATTCTGAAATTTATTTTACATATTGACAATATATAGTGCAGTGCAGTGTTTATTTAAAGAAAATAATCTTGAATTACACCTAGTGAACTTAAAATTTTATTGGTGAAATGGAGGCATGAAGCATGGGGTGACTTTTCTTCCACCCCAATGCCTTCAATTCTCCCTTCTCCTCCACCCCCATTCTAATTCCCATCATCATCAACCAGGAGCCTTCTATATGCACACCTCAAAGTAAGTGTACTTTAATGCATTTATTTTTAGTTTGTATGCAATTTTCGGTGAGCTGGAACCAATTACCCAAAATCCCATTGAAACAATGGTTTCGGTTAACAAAATTTTTGGTTAACGAACGACCTTCTGGAACGAATTGTGTTCGTTAACCGAGGGACCACTGTATTAGCTCTTTTTAGGCCCATGTCAAATCTGAGATTACATTATCCCCATTAAAGACAGTACAGTCTCTCCTCGACTTACGACGGGGTTCTGTCCCGACGACCAGGTCGTAAGTCGAAAATAATACATAGAAATTCTAAAATGGGTGTCTCTTTTTCTTCTTAGCACCATGAGAACTCTCACTTCTACATTTGCCAGCCATTTTAAAGGTAATTACAAACAAACATTTTTTTAGTACACAGCGAAATCACTAACGCCAGGACTCGAAAATATGTAATTTGAAAAATATTTTATACGACCACGGCAGTCGTATGTCCGGGTTGTCGTAAGTCGAGTATGTCGTAAGTCGAAGAGTACCTGTACAGGTAGTTCTGCTATAACGCGATAGTAGTGTTCTTGTAAAACATCGTGTTATAGAAATTCGTGTAATAGAAATAACAGGGCTTATGGAGAAAATAGGGTTAGGTGCAGATTACTCCAAATCGAAAAAAAATTTCGTAGTTAGCCTAACACAAAGGATAGCACAGTCTAAATAAATGTTACATTCATATCTAATAATGAAATCATACAGTAAATGTTACACTTTACCTTGAAAAAATATGAATATAACTTGATGGGGGATAAGGGTGATGTTGAGGCTGAGGAGTCATGAAACATCAAGCTTTTCTTCAAGTGTTATAGCCTTTCTTTTACGATCACCACCGGAAATGCGATCACCAGAGTGCTTCCCAGAGATATTCTTCTTTTCCATAGTCACAAAATTGGAGAAACAGTAATCAGAATTCACTGAGGACACTTAAAAACTTCACACGTGTTTCAAACAAAGTGTGGAGTAAACAGAGCGCTCGGGTCTAAAACGCTATGTATTTTGTTTTTCTCTTATTTAAAAGTTTACATTTTACATATACTGTACAGGTATACTGTATACACAAATATTACATAAATTATTTCTGCAATTCTTCACAAACAAAACACATAAATCAATTGAACATGTGATGTCGAACGTGAACTGTAAACACTGCATAACCCCGCACCAAGCCACAATGTACAGTACACTTTAAACGCTACTTATTTTGTTTTTTTCTCTTATTTAAAATTTTACAATTTACATATACTGTACAGGTATTTCTTCACAAACAAAACACATAAATCAATTGAACAAGTGATGTCGAACGTGAACTGTAAACATTGAGCCAAGCCACAACACTGTACAGTACACTTTAAACGCTACGTATTTAGTTTTTCTCTTTTCTTTAAATTTTTACAATTTACATATATATATATATATATATATATATATATATATATATATATATATATATATATATATATATCATGTAAATCCACAATGAAAACGTGGATAAGATAAATCTTGATAAAATCACACGGGAAAATGGAAACAACGGAGTACCTTAGCTTTCGTCTTTATTCAAGACATCTTCAGAGGCAACTGGGTTACATGGACAGAGAGAGGCTTAAATATACAGGGTGACCTAAAAATATAAGGTCAGGTCATAATGATGACATCCACTAATCCGCACACCAACACACACGTAGAGGAGCTTAAGAGAAGGGTGGTGACGTGACTAGACAGGTCAGGTCAGAAAAAAGGGACCCACAAAATAACTATCATACATCAAGATCAAAGGTTTTCAAAGCATTTTTAACCTTGGGCCACTGACAAATAAATTTATGATGGTCAGTTCAAAACTGATAATATATATATATATATATATATATATATATATATATATATATATATATATATATATATATATATATATATATATATATATATATATATATATATATATATATATATATATATATATATATATATATATATATATATATAAATTGTAATTTACATATTATTCATATTATGCTAGAGCGCCCACAAAACATGAGAAACGTTTGAGTCCCCCAGTAGAGATGTCCGTTCTCTATCCACTCCAGGATGTCCGTTTTCTTTTTGTGTACTCGCTCAGGGACTCAAGTATTTCTGTATATGACACAGGATGATAAGGGAATTTGAATTTATTTGTTTATTTATTTATATATAATATACTGTAATATATTAAATATACTGCAAGTATTTTCTTTAATTTATATACGTGTTTCGCGAAAAAGGGAGGCTACATTTATGGTGATCGTTAAGGACCAAACTCCGAATCCATGACGTGACTTCTGTTCATTATTTATATCCTAAATTTACCACTGTCGGCAGTTTCAAGAATTAATGCAGTCATTTACTGAATATTCTTTGCAAAAAAATAAATTTTAAATGAATTATTTATAAGAGATAAGTATTATGATCAGTAAATATACAGATATGCATTACTGACCACCTCCGAACACAAGGATGGCTAAAAATAGCCACAGGCGGTCACAGTCAAGGTCACTTTCCCTTTCTTGT